ATCTATGTGCCAACAACAGTTTCCAAGATCAGGTAACTCTAGTATTACAGATATGAAAACATACATATTTTCGAAAAATCACTTCCACCATATTTTAGTAAATCTCCGTATAAGTACCTTCTAGAATAACAATATTACATGGATTATCATATTTAAACATTAAATCCTTATTTAAAAACGACTGTTGATTTGACCATGTATTTGCATACCACACATGAGTCTCTGCTTGGAATTTGTTAGCCTTCCCTCTGCCATGCAACTGCCTAACGCTGCTATTTTCATGTGGAAATTGTTGCTTTATAAGGAACACTTTTCTTTTATATGCTGCTGTATTATTATTGCTGTGTTTAATTGGAATGCTCCCATTGTGTTAACCAGGGAGAGTTCTTTAAACCTGGGAATGTGTGCCTCATAGAGTGTAGAGCTATTTATTTATTTATTTTCATTTCCCCAAAATATCAACTTTGATTACTAATCATATACAGGCTTTGTTCTTCTTATCTGGGTGTCAACAGTAATTGGAATCCATATCCATATTCTACCTTGCAATCATGCTGCAAAAGGCCAATAAATTCCCGCTGAGTGTGTTACTTGTTAAATTTAGTGCATTACATTCAGGGTAATGAATAAAAGCAGTGGACCGTTACCGTCTGGCTGGCTGAGGGAGGCTAGAACAGCCAGACTCCCCCGAGGCCTTGAGCCGGCTTAAAAACCAGTGACAGGCAGAATCAAGGGAGTCCCGGAGCATCACAGTTCAGTTTGTCTCCCTTAATTTCCTCTTCTGTAGAGACTTAGGCTGTAGGGAGGTGGAGTAATCTTACCCATTAATTCACCACACTTTCATAAAATGCCGCATGCTCTGGTTTCATTAACAAGAAAATACATTTTAGATAAATACTTAGGTATTTACATTGAGCAGGAAGATGAGAATAGTATGGAATGTAAATTAGTAACTGTGCCTCCGCACAGTCCCCTCTGTATGTCTACATAACGTATTCATTCATCTATATTCAAAATGCACAAGGATATTTTGAGTGAATAACCAACCAATGATACAAGCCACACAGATATAAACCCCAGAGTACTTCTGTCTCGTGTTTATTGAATACATATTAGCGGTTACTGAACAAAGAGGCTCCTTGTAACTTGAAGCTACTTGCAACTCCTTCTTAATAAACAAATATATTCATTTCAAAAAAATTCTTGAACTGTAGTATAACAATTTCATATAGACTGTAAATGTACAAATGAAATATATTAGAGCAAACTGGTCTAGACTCTTAACTTGCTGTTTTATTGTGATAACTCAGAGTCTTTATTCTCCCTGCCTGGCAATTGTTACAAACCAGGTTTCCTGCCATAGCCAATCCCTCAGTCCTTTGAGCTATTGTAAATATTAATATCAATTCAAAAAGAACTAGATTCCTAAAGGAACTAAACGTAATTTTATGAAATGGCCACTTTTGTTATTTTTGAGTGTCTTGGAAAATTTGGTGTGCAGTGTCCTTTGCTATCCATGATAGAGCAGCTGGTTCCAAATAACATGGTGTATCTCATTAGAGAGATATTAGATCTAATTATGCAGCATATAAGTGATATCATTATAGTAACATTATCTATCTCAATGAGGTAAGTAAAGTGCATGTGAAATCTAACACTCTGCTGCTTGAAAGAATTTTTGAAAGCAAATAAAGGAATTAATGGTCACTTAACTGGTGAAAGGTTTTGCAAACCAGTTATGCATCTTTGGCATGTGATGGAAAAATATAATAGGATGACAGGTACCCTGATTATGTATGCCGGAGATGAAAATGAACTTCCTTGGCAAATATTGTCATTTAATACAGATAAATAACATAATAAAACAGTGCTTTTTTTTTTTTTTTAGTACCTCTACTACATAAGAGTTTCTCAAACTTTAGAGTGTAACAGAATCCCAGAGAAGGCTCCTTGAAACAAAGCTTGTTGACCTTTACTGGTTTTTGCAGCACTGTGGATGGAATTGGAGATCATTGTCCTAAGTGAAGTATCTAAAGAATGGAAAAACAAACACTACGTGTACTCACTATTAAATTGGAACCAATCGATGAGCACACATGTGCATAGAAGTAAAGCACAGTGGAAATCAAGCTGGGGGAGAGGGGAGGAGAGGATAGGCAAAGGCTATGGGTGCAGGCAGTGAACACTCTCCGGGTGACAGGCACACTCCCACTAGGTATCCCTGATCCAAGCATTACAGAAGCAATCCCTGTCACCAAAAACATTTGTAACCCTGTAATACTTTGAAATAAAAAATTTATTGCTGGGCTACAACCTCAGAGTTTCTGTTCAGTAAGGCTGGAGCCTGAGAGTTGGCATTTCTAAACTTCCCAAATGACACTCATATTGCGGGTCTAAGTCCATTCCATAGAACCACTGAACTATGTGAAAATCAGTAAAGAAGACCCTTCCCTCACATTAGTTTTCTGTAAGATGAAAATCCAAGGATCCTATTTCTGATTAGTAATTTTCAATAAAGCTAGATCTTTTTGTTTGTTTGTTTCTGTTATTGTTGCAGTTTTTAGCCAGGACTAGTTTTGAACCCACCACCTCCAGTATATGGGGCCAGTGCCCTACTCCTTGAACCACAGGCACTGCCCTAAGCTGGTTATATTTAAAAATCTAGAATGTTTTTCAAAGAGATCTGTCCTTAAAAATAGAAGTAAGACTATCTGCCAAGCATTAAGCATATTTATAACAACACATTTAGAAACAACAGCATTGATAATAAAATGAGTAGATAGTGCCAGTGTCATAATTTACCTAGCAAGGAAAATGCCAAAAATAATTAGAGGTTTCAGCTCTGCAAAAGTAATTTGGCTTACTCTTCTCTGCACACATTATGTCTTTCCTAAGAGCTTTGAGTGTGTTTACTAAAGGAATGGATTCTGCTAACAATTTTTAAATTTAAAAAAGTGGCAATGGAATCAAGACCTTTTGATAATTGGCTTCCTTCATCATCTGGCAGTTTTAACCATGGTTTGTATGGTTTTGCTAATTTATCATCTAATAATGTCTTTAGGAAGATGCATGTTATAAAATGGCACCAAAATTCCGTGTGACTTTAGTTTGGGGCATTTTTTAACCTTTTTCTCATCCCAAATCAAGCAGTATAATTGTTATAGTAACAATTGACATTCACTTTTCAGAGAACCATTGATATTCAAAGGGCATTTCCAGAGAGAATCATTTCTTGGCTCAATTAAGGTAACCTTAAATTGTGGTCCATGTTCTGAACTAAAATATCTGAGGCTCCACAAAATTGGGAAACATTTGTATGATAATCATGCCTAAAAATAAAAACAAAGATTATAGAACTTCAATATTAAGGATATAACTTCAAACTTCTGGTGGAAAAGAGACCAAACCAAATTTATGAAACAACCAAAAGTTTTAATTTAGAAAAATAAAGTTATCTGGTTTTTTATGCTAATTTTAACTGAGCTCTCACTAATTGTTGTCTCCACACTTAGTCCAAAAAGAGGTGGGCACTCCATTCATCTGCATGTTACAAATGAGGAAATGACTATTGAAGGATACAAGTGTTTGAGGTTTTTTTGTTTTGTTTTACTGTTTGGGATTCCTTGAGGGTACAAAGAATTAGGTTAGACTGATTGCATTTGTTAAGTCCCTCTTGTAATTCTGGCCCATCCTCAAGAAGTGTGCCACGCACTGTACTCCCCCATGACCCTCTCCTTCCCCTTCCCTGCTCCCTCATTCCCCTGCCCCCCACCTTGGATTAGTTCATCTAGTGTCTTCAGATTAGAAGTGAGTACATTGGATTCTTGTTTCTCCATTCTTGTGATGCTTTACTAAGAAGAACGTGTTCCAAGTCATGTTAATAGAAAAGATGCAAAGTCTCCATCTTTTAAATAGCTGAATAGTATTCCATGGTATACATACACCACGGCTTATTATGTTAAATCCCATCACTGGGCAAGAGATGTGAACAGAACCTTCCCTGATGAAGACAGACAAATGGCAAACAACCATTTGAAAAAATGCTCATTATCCCTAATCATCAAAGAAATGCAAATCAAAACTATCCTGAGACATCTAACCCCAGTGAGAATGGCCCACATCACAAAGTCTCAAAGTTGCAGATGCTGGTGTGGATGTGGAGAGAAGGGAACACTTTTACACTGCTGGTGGGATTGCAAGCTGAATACAACCTTTTTGGAAGAAAATATGGAGATTCCTCAAAGAATTCAAATTAGACCTCCCATTGATCCTATAAGCCCATTACTAGGCATCTATCCAAAAGAAAAAAATCATTTTATCATAAGGACATTTGCACTAAACTGTTTATCACAGCTTAATTTACAATCACCAAAATGTTGATTCAAGTGTTTCTTGGATCATTTGTCTGTGTTTATCCTAGTCCCAAAGATAACTCCGTTTCCTAGGATAACTTTTTAAGTATCCACAAAAGTTCTTTCTTACACTAAATTTTATCCACATGCATAACTAGACTGTAGGTTTAGATACCATTCACTTCCTTATGTTCTTATTCTTGGCTACACTCTGAACTTCCATGAGGAGCTTTAGAAAATACTGATGCCTATGTTTCAACTAGAGAAAATCAGATTTAATTAGTCTGATGGGTAGTCAGGTCATTAGGATTTTTTCAAAATCTTCTTGTGATTATGGCATGCAAAGCCGAGTTTGAAACCCATGTTTATGGTATTTACAGGCAAATTTATTAGGAGATCTAATATCAATGAACTTAGTTTATGCATCTCACATCCCAGGAGTACTAACATATGGGAAAGAGTAAAGTCTTCATTCCAATTAGTGTGTGTTTGTGTGTTTTTGACCATGTCAAGATGGGATTATCATGATGTAATCCACTCTGTACATTTATTATGAACTTGATGGTAACAAGTTTATGAAGCAATACTTATTATAGGAGTTAAAGTTGCATATACTTTAGGTTCTTATTTTCTCTTGGTCTTCTGCAGAATTCCAGGCAGCAGGCAATGTGCCAGGCACCGTGCAGGGGACAGGAACATGGGGGCGAACAAACAAAGGTAAGTTTATACAATGTTTAGAATGAATATAGTTATGAAAATCACTAGCAAAATAAAAAGCTTGAATGTTCAAAAAAGGATTCAAAAACCAATAATGATTTGGTATTAAGTTAGATGTTATAATGAAAAAAATTAGAAAGGTAATGTCGATGTGACGAGATACATCTATACAAAAGGACAGATATATCAAGATTTTCATCTTACCTAAGAGGGGCCATCTATGCTGCCTCGTTCTTGGCTTTGAAAATGACACAGTATAAGGGATAAAGAATGTATGTAGATATTTTCAGGGAATATATAAAATAAATATGAAATATACACATTATGTAGGACTACAAAAAACCAAAGAAGAATCATGTAATTCAAATAACTAAAATCAAGGAAATAAAAGGAAAATTTAACAATTGATATTTATAAAATCTTGTAGCCTATAAACAGAAACTGTGCATTTCTTCAAGCATCTATAATTTATTTATACAAGTAGATGAGGGTTAGCTAAGAACAACAAAAAAGTAATAAATAACAGAATTTCCAAAAATCACATGTGATCACAATTTAATAGTACTAAAAATAAATGTTTCATAAAAATAGCTTCCAAAATATTAAAAACAAGCACAACAAAACAATAGCAACATTGAATAAGCAAACCATTTTCCTTAGGAAACATCAGAGCAAATTGGAGACTAACACCATAACTGTAGGCAATTCAGGAACTTAGTAATGTTACAGCACCGCATTTTAACACTGATATATTACCAAAGCTATTGTCAGGGACAAATACATAGGCTTCAGCATTTGAATGTAAAGGAATCAAGTCCTTACCTCCACAATTTAGGTGCACTGTAGTAAAGCAAACACAAAAGTTAGGACCAAAAGGAAAACAAACTTAGCTGAATTAGAGCAATTGTAAGATCAACAAGTAAATCACAGAAAAGAAAGAAAAACCTCTTTAATATTCTGCAACAGTTAAAAACAAACAAAAAAAAAGAATACAAGACGAAAAAATTTAAAAGAGGGATAATGTTAAACAAAACTTAAACAATAATGTAAGGGATAATGTTTAAGAAGGTAATTGAAAATTTCTAGAACTATATATTCATATAGGGTATCAAAATAATAATGATCCATGAATACTTTTGTTTATCTCAGTTATATGTAGATGATTTCAATAACCAACTTATAATACTCAAAATTTATAACAATGCTATGTCTCTTCATATATTCAACTTTTCTTTTAGGGTTCCTAAATCCAGGATGGCCCAAAAGTTCATGTGCACTTTAAAGTAGGGTGCAATTTAAAAAAAAAAGTAGGGTGCAATTTTAAAATGCACACAAACTTTACGGCCAGCCAGTATGTTATAAATAGACTTCTTACAAGTTTATGTTTTTGTAAAAATTAAATAAAGTTTATTTCATTACATTTTTTAACCTGGTTATTGCTGGATTAAAGGAAACACAAAACACTACACACTACGCCCTTACAGAAGATATCACATCCATAATCTGATCTTTTTCTAAAGTCCAAGATTTGGCAGAAAGTTAGTGTTTAATTTTCTGTGAATAGACTCAGATCTACTATATTAGAAAATACTCAGGATGGCATATTTTCCCTGTCCCTCGAATCCCTTCCTACATCTTGCAAGTCCATTATAGATTCTATTGTGCAAACAAGAAGAATTTGAATGACAATTTTGCTCAGGTAAAGATACATATTGAAAATAGCACATATTTTAAATCAGTATTTATCATTGAGTCATCTGTAACATTCAGAAGTTTTCTGCTTATATACTTTTTATTTCCATAAAATGTAACTTTGTTATGAAATCTCTCTCTTTTTTTGTTTTTTTGTTTTTTTTTTTTACTTTTGGGCAGCTATGATATCATCTTCTTGTCGTTGACTAAAGAAACGTGAATTTTGCTTTCTGCTCTATTAGCTTATCTATCATCCATTATTCCTTGAATTTTAGACTGGTCTTGGGACATGGCTCTTCCCTTCAAATGTCCCCAGGACCAATGCTCAGGTGCTTGGCTCATCTAGTTTATTAGTGTGGTGAGAGTGAAGCTGACTTACAGGACTCCTGCAGACTAGACAGTAGGCTACAGGGCCACGTGAGCAGCAATATAGTATCTCAAGCTCACTCACAAAGCTTGATCTCGTCTAAGCCTTTCTCCAGCTGTCATGTGCAGGTACAGCTCTTTCTTTCTTGTTATAACAGCTCACATCCTAAAAGGAGGCAAGGAAGACTGTTCCCAAGAGCAGTGTGAGCAGTGAGCTTTGGCTCTCTCTCCTCCAGAATCTCATCTTGTGAATTTACTCTTCAAAGACTGAGATATCTGGCACCTGCCAAGCTATAACTGAAGAGGACCAATCTAAATCATCATTTCTCCAATTTTTTAGTAGCAAGTATTTTATTTTGTTTATTCATAAATGTCCCACCCTGAACAACAGAAACTGATACATCAAAAATGAAATGTGTATGAAGTTTTACAGAAGAAGGTCAAGAAGTACAACCCTAAACACATTTTAATTAAAAAGAGTTTGGAAAATATTCTAAAATCAATGTGAATGTAGAATGTGCCAACAAAAGTAAGACACATCAGTGTGGGTGGGTATGAAATGCCCATGGAAACAGATTTCGTCTTTGGGGCCAAGCTGTAAACATTAAAATTTCTCAATGAGGAACTTACTATATATAACCAAAGGTTGCCAAAAAAATGTATACACATTTTAAGAAAGGAAAAGACTACATTAAAATTATAAGAGATATAAGATATAATATACAAGATAACAAGTATTATTGGTATATATTGACTATTACAATTTGTATACCCTTTTTTCTTTATTAAAATGTGCATGCATTTTGGAGGTGCCCTCTATATATCAGACATTGTGCCTAAGAACTTTTCATATGTAATCACATTTAATCTTTCCTATGATCCTATCAGTTTGTGTTATTGTTCTTCTCTTATATATTATTTTGGACAGGGAAGCTAAAATTGGAAGGGATTGAGAAGTTGGCCTTATAGGATATGGATAATAAATAGCAAAATTTTGACTTAAATTCTAGTTGTGCCCCCCATTGTAAGTTATTCATCATAACGTTTTAATATTGCTACATTGTTTTATGTATTACTTTTATTGAATGCAAAGGATTGAAACCAAATTTATATCCGTTTAAGAAAAGCAGCAATCATAGAAAGGACCTTGAGGGATTTCCCAGAACCTGAAGACAGGAATGTAGCTGGACCATGGAACATCAGGAGCCAATGAGTGAACAACACGGGCTGAACGTATTTTCTACCTCAGCTCCTATCACCTCACCCACTCCTGCCACCCCTTATGTGTCCTCCATCTTTCCTGGGCTTCCTCATTTCCTTTCACATGTTTGAAAATACAAGTTACCGTGAGTTCTGTATCTTTTAGTCCCGGCATCCAAAACCCAAAAGGAGACGAACTAACTCACTTTTGATCTCAAACCCCACAAATTGGGACGGATGAAGAACTTTGGCTGGGTTTTGGTCATTTCCCATTCTATTAGAATCATTAATTTTTTAAATCAGAAATCTTTTGAGAATATGTGTCTGATAGTGTCTTGGGTACCAGAAACTCAGCAGTGAAATAGATAGACAAGGTCTTATATTCCAGAGGGGAGAGACAGGCAATAAATATGTTATGCTGTGAAGTAAACCCTTACATAAGATAAATACAGGAGCTGATTTCCACTAGTTCTAAATGCAGAAAGATATGTAGCAAGTGATGAAGTGGCAGAGTGAAGGGCCACGTTAGCGATAAGAGAATATTTCTCTGAGATGACTTCTGAAGAGAGTCCCGAATGATTTTTTCCAATGAGTTATTGAAAAATCGGGGGGGGGGGAACTGTGGCTCAAGGAGTAGGGCGCTGGCCTCATATGCTGGAGGTGGTGGGTTCCAACCCAGCCCCAGCCAAAAAAAAAAAAATCAGGGAAGACTACAGCAGGCAGAGAGGATGAAAGGTACAAAAGCGCTGAGCTGAGACTATCAGACAGCCAAGACAGCTAGACCCTATAAGCAAACAAGAGAAAGATAGAGAATGAATTTGAGGTAGAGACTAAAAATGTCTAGAGGACCCCCTACAAGGCATTTGAATATTATTCAAAGTAGAGAAAGTTATAGCCAGAGGGTGCTGTGATTTGCCCGAGTTGGGTAAGGTACCCCTTGGGTTATATTTTAATTTGCCTGCTGTTGCTGCAGTCAGAAGGAGGAGACAGAGTATTTCCCTTAGGAGCTGTGGTTCTAGGCAGATAAAGCAACACACAATTCTGGTCAAGTATTTCTGTTATAAATCCCCTTAACTGTTACTCCTCACACATTGTCAATCACAGTAGCCACTGTTCTTGTACTAGTTTTCATTATCTTAGATTTTCAGATCTTTCATAAAATGTTAAGGCCATTTAAGGGGGCTGGCTCACTTGGAGTAGGATCCAACATTCGAAAGTTACCTTTGTTATGCTGATTTGTTGATTGATTACCTGGTGGTTAACACCTACTTGAATGCAGTCTATTGCCTCTAGGCATTGGCTTCTAGTTCCATGTCACTGGGCTTTGTATTGTAAAGTTTTCAATCTTCCAGCCTCTCTCATTTGCCATGCTTATTTTCAGCTTTCTTAGGAGAAAAATATTGGATCCTGAGGGCATTTGCTAGATATCTGGCAAGGAGCATCACACACCTATAAAAGCAAGTCAAACTAAGGAAAAGGGAGTAAAATGGAATGGAATGCCAGTCGAAAGAAGTCTCTGGGAGCAAGAAAAACAGGGGAAGGAGGGCGACAGCATACACAGATAGCAGCCATATCAAAAACAGAAGAAAACAAAGGACTGGCCCAAAGAGTTATGAATCTCTGCAGGAGAATTAATGAGATGGAAAATTCTCAAAGAAAAAGAGCCAAAGATAGATATAGAGAGGGGGGAAAAGGCATAAAGTAAGAAATAACAAACTAGGGGAAGAGAAAAATTCAAAAAC